GAAAGATTATGAAAAAGAGTGGAAGTACATCAGAAATGACAATTTAGGGCTATTGAAAAGGGGATCAGTAGGAAGAAAGGCTAAGAAATGTTTTAAAATTTGATTATTTGTAAAATGATGTTTTAACTACATTGTCTAAACAATGGTGATGTCCTTTTCTAAGCAAATACAAATAAACACTAAATGCAAATTTGAACTGTGCATTGCTGTCTTTATAAGAGCATTTTCTTTTAATTTGTTGCTGTTTTGGTGCTGCAGAGTAAAGGAGTTTGGAATTAGTCCATCAGACATTCCCTTCTCACAGGGTAGTGGCAGTCGCCCTGATCTCTCTCCTTCTTATGAGTATGACGACTTTTCTCCTTCGATTACCAGGTCTACTTCATTCTATACATAAGATGTTTATTTTAATAGTTTCTTTTGAATTTTGCTATGTATGAACATTTCATTTACTTTTTTTGTCCTGAGCCATTTTATATTTTATTTTCATTTCATTTGGCAGGTGGTGGTTGCACTGCATGATCTGCATTTTTATGTCCTATTAATTTATTTGTTTTAAGATGTTGACTTAGAATTCAGGCTTCCTATTTCCCCTCTTTGTTTAAAGATGATGTCATTTTTGAATATTTACCACTAAAAGATAAATTACCTTGGTTAGAAAGGAAGAGTGTACCTTTATTTCATATGATCTTAGCAAATTTCCTTGTCTATAGATAATAAGGATTAGAAAGTGTACCCTCTTCCAAATGTGAAAATTTAAGTGTGATGAGTAAACATTTTTAGATAGAACTGAACATTTTTATCATCTTTATACATTAAAAATAAAATTATTTCACATCTAGCTATTTTAATCATATATTACAACTACCAGAAATCTGCAAAATGTATCAAATCTTGTTTTCAGCAATGATCTGTCCAAATGTCATTTTAAACATTTTTCTATGCGTATAATTCAATTACAACAAAAATTTCCTGTTTTCTTTGAAATACTAAATCTACATAATTTACTGAGTCTCATTTATTATGAATAATAATTATATTTGAAGTAATTGTAAAGTTTCTTAAATAAATTCCTAAAATTAGGCTACCAAACAACCTTTTAGTGTTTTCACAAGATTCCAGATAAATTTGACCTGTAAAGGTGACATCATCAATTTTAGTGTGTTAATTGCATTGCCTTTATATTGACTAGGTTGGTGTTTTGTTTTTTGGTTCCTCTGGATGAGTCTTTAATTTTAGATACTTCTTATGTGTTTTAGGGTAAAAGAATTGACTGTAGATCCCACTGCTGCTGGTGATGTCCGTCCAATAATGCACCACCCACCAAACCAGATTGATGACTTAGAGACACAGTGGGGTGTGGGGAGTTCTCCTCAGAGAGATGATCTAAAACTTCTTTGTGAACAAAATGTGAGTAATTTCAGATAGTTGTAATTGATCCAATATTAGTCCATTCCATTAGTAGCAAAACTTAATAAAAGCTGTCAGCTAAATATGGGATCAAACTATAGCTTGTGGGCCAGTCTTCTGGTCTTACAAATATAGTTTATTGCAACACAGCCATGCTTTATCATTTATAGGGTGTCTGGCTGCTTTCTTTCTTTATTTCTTTCTTTTT